AAGGGAGTGCAAGTTTTCACTTTCACAAAGTTGAAACATGGTGTATTCCACATTTGTGCTTTGAGAAAGTAGTTGTTATGGAAGCCACCTTCATCTACAGCTTTAAGGAACGATTCGACAAAGAATTCAAACGTCACAATAGTTAAATTGTGACGCAACAAGTACAACAAGACTCGTAGGCCGGACATCAAGAGCTTGACCTCACGCCCCTGTAGTTACTGTTAGGTAAGTACTAATATGTATGTACCTTTGCAACCCGTTCTCGCAAATTTAATAAGTCAATATTGACTTATTAAATATGTGCATAGGTGACATACTTAACATAATAGTTTCCCTTGAAAAGCTTCATAGAAAACACCGACCTTACATAACCTACTTAGTACGTTAAGATAAGCATCTTATTGCTTCGTAATTACAATTATTACCTAACCTATACCTATAATAGGTTAAGTAACAATTGTAATTACGAAACTATAAGATGCTTATTTTAACATACTAAGTAGGTTAGGTAAGGTCGGTGTTTTCTATGAAGCTTTTCAAGGGAAACTATTATGTTAAGTATGTCACCTATGCACGCAACTAATAAGTCAATATTGACTTATTAAATTTGCGAGAACGGGTTGACCTTTGCCACCATACTCACTCCCTTCGCATCCACACCCATCACCACCATCACCATTACCTTCACCTCCACCATTACCTTCACCTCCACCATTACCTTCACCACCACCCACCTTCAGCACCACCACCATTACCCTCACCACCACCACCACTACATGGAGGACAAACTCAGCAGCACCCAAGATAAAAACCAAGGGATTTAATTATCTGAGAAAGACCAGTTCCTTCAGGACTGTTGTCAACATGGGGCGTAAATCTGCCCGACAGAACCGCTGGGATCTGCAACCTCAAGGTTTTTACACGTCTTTAATTAGCCTTGAGATGGCAAGACAGAGGCAGTACTGGTCTTGGGGTCGAGTCCTTCCGTCACTCTGCCTTTGTGAGAGTCGTACACTTAATCATTTCCACCATAAACCATCTGCTAGAGAAGGTTTTACTTTAGTTTAGATGTGTTTAGTATGTGATAAGGCTATATCTGCTTTCTACTTAAATATATTTTACTGCCTTCTTCCATTGGAATGCCACCTGACGTTTGTAAGCCAATGACAAAGGGAGAAAGTACAGTTAATTTTGCTTCGTTGAAAGCTGTAAATTCGACCAATGAGCATGGATCTTAATGGTGTTATACAGCATTTGTCTTCCTTCTGATTGGCTTATGAGTTTCCCCTCGTCTCCCCAGTCTCTGGAGAGGATGCTTGCGCGACCTGGCGCTCTGTGACACCCACTTTCAGGTCAATTGACTGGAGGGTGAAGTCCCGACCACTTGACCTGAGCTGGTGCGATGTTTGTGGAGCAGGAGGAAGGACTCCAGCTTCCCTCCGAAGCCAACTTCGTCAGTAGCGAGGCTTGTAAGCTTGAGCGAGAGCGGCGGCTTGTTAAGCAGTGTCCTTGCCGCCATGTGTTGTGTTCAAGGCAGCTGTGTACCACCAGCATGAAGTCATTGTTGGCAGTGTCATAGAGAAGCGTGAGATTGAAGGTGCTATCGGTGCTTTCGTTCCTTAATATATCAATAAGGGTGTCAGCTTGATGCATAGGTACCATGCGAAGGCACATGTTAGTAATGAATCAGAAAATATGACTCCAGCAGAGTGGAATGTTGGTGACACTCTCTTATTTATTTATTATTTATTTATTTATTTATATATATAGAAGAAGGTACATTGGGTTTGTGAGAATACATTGGATAGTACAGTATTTACATTCTTGTAAAGCCACTAGTACGCACAGCGTTTCGTTTTCGGTTTTCGGGTTTCGGGCGTTTCGGGTTTCTCTCTGTGAACAAGGAACAGCATGATGAACCGTGTGTGATTGTTCGGCGTTTACCGTTAACGTGAACTACAATTGGGGGGGATGGAAGCACGCCTAGGATAACCGTCGAAGTGTTCAGACTAGGAAACAACCACAGGAATGCTCTGTAATTGGTGCTACACCCATTGTCATGTTGAACTTAGGCGACCGCTTGTAATTGAGTGTCGAGGTATCCTGTCGTCATGAGTCCATCCACAGTCGACGTGTTGCTGTGTGTGGGAATGGTTCCATCGAGGACAAGAGTTATTACACCATTAAGCACTTAAAGGTGACTTTAGGCTCGGGTGTTTCAGAGTTTCGTGACCCAACATTCCCACAGTTTCAACCCAGAAAGTGAGTGCACTCTCAGCCATCGGGGCTAATGGTACTGATCATTGTGTTTAGTGCAAGTCTCTCTCTCTGGCTGAGACTCTGCATAAAGAAGTGCAAGTCTTCGTGATAAAGACCGGCCTACTTGCTGCTCTAGACACCGTGACTTGCACAGCTTGCTACAAGGGAGTGGTCACACTCTGATAATTACCGTGATGAGTGATGACTGTAGTTGCTGGCCAGTTTTGCAGAGGTTCGACAGTGTATATGAATGTCTCTTACGATTTCGACGGATCATATATTCTTCCGTCGAAGCTGTCTGGACGCTTAAATTGGAGCATTTCAACATGTAAGTTCAGTGTGTGTGGGATTTTTCAACATTTTTACATTTTTTCAACCGCTGTAGCTCAATATGTTGAATTAGCTGTATGTATTCGACCTTTTAGAATTTACTTTTAGGCATTTGTTAAGGTCAGTCTGGTCTCCCGAGCATCACTGAAGCGTTGTGAACCTTCAATACAGGGCCATTGAGAACCCCGGGGCTGACACGTGCCTTCTACAAGGTATATTGTGTTTTTTAGGCTTCTTCTTCATCTTTCTTCCACTTGTTTTCACTTGTTCCACGCCTCCTCCTCCCCCCCAACTACTACCACAACCTCTTCCTCCTTCCTCCTTTTCCTCCTCCTCCTCTGTCTCTTCTTTCTCCTCTTTCTCCTCCTCTTCCTCGTCTCGTGTTACAGAGTGTAGGGGTTCGCAGGGAAAATGTTGGTGGAGGGAGATACGGAGCTTACTGGTGATGTGGCTGGTGAAATTTTTATTACCGGCCGTTAACGGGGGTTTATGTGGGGCGTTCGTCACACCCTCACGCTAATTAGCTGGCTCGCTTTCTCTACCTTCTGTGTTCTTTCTCTTCTTCTCTCACTTAATCATTCTCTTTCTTTCATCTTCTCTGGCACAGTTATTTATATATTGCACTCCGTGCTGTCCGGTCGCCACGTATTCACTCTTGCCTCAGAGTACGCATTGATGAATGTCAGAGTGGGTGGGGACTTGGGCTCGAGTGAATATTTTCACCTGAGTGAAGTTGTAAATTAAAATAGTGCAACATTGCCGTAAACTACCCAACCACTTGGGATAGACGGTAGAGCGACGGTCTCGCTTCATGCAGGTCGGTGTTCAATCCCCGACCGTTCACAAGGGATTGGGCACCATTCCTTCCCCCCGTCCCATCCCAAATCCTTATCCTGACCCCTTCCAAGTGCTATATAGTCGTAATGACTTGGCGCTTTCCCCCTAATAGTTCCCTTCCCTTCCATTCTTCCCCCCACCACCCCCCCCCCCCCCCCACCATCCCCCGTCTCAAAGATCTTATCCTTATCCCTTCCAAGTGCTATAAAGTCGTAATGGCTAGGCGCTCTATCCTAATAACTACCTTAGCTTACCTTTGTCGTTAACTCAAATCCTTGAGTGTAATCAAGGTTTAACTCAAGCGTCGTCATCTGGTAATCTTAGAATCCCGTAATGAGTAATGTGACGAATTCTGAATATTATTGGTCAATAAAATAATAATAAGCACATGAACATAATGTAGGATAATATAACATGAAATAGAATATATATTTTGTCGAAATATACTTAAAAAAAAATAGGTAAAACAGAATACATCAAATAATTCAAATTCGATACTTAAAAAATATATATTTTTTACAGAAAAGATAATTAGATAATAAAAGCTGGATCAACGTCACCTCCAGCCAGGGGGAGGGGGGGGGGCGTGGCTACCTCCATCATGGGGGGGGGGGCCTCCATCCACGGGGGGGGGGCCTCCAACCACGGGGGGGGGGCCTCCAACCACGGGGGGGGGGGCCTCCAACCACGGGGGGGGGGCCTCCAACCACGGGGGGGGGCCTCCAACCACGGGGGGGGGCCTCCAACCACGGGGGGGGGCCTCCAACCACGGGGGGGGGGGGCCTCCAACCAAGGGGGGGGGGCCTCCAACCACGGGGGGGGCCTCCAACCACGGGGGGGGGCCTCCAACCACGGGGTGGGGGGGGTCACAAAAATAATGCTCTCGTCACAATATTACCCTAAGTTGCCCGAACCTAACCTAACCGATGGCCCCACGCATAGAAAACGCAATTGTGAGCCGCCATGATTGCTACTACATCATGTTCTGTCCGTTGGGGGGGGGGGGGATCTCGACGTCAAAATATGATGATATTCGAGAGGACAGGAGCTTATAAGCGTATGCGCGCGCGCGTCCCCCCCCCCCCTCTACACCACGCAGCATCAACAAAGTGAGAGAGATCTGAAGCACTTGGAACATATCTCTGACAATCAATCATATCTCTGACACGCTTCCACTACACATAAGGGGCATAACTGGCCGACCCCTCACAGTGTTCAAGAGAGAACTGGATAAGCACCTCCAAAGGATACCTGATCAACCAGGCTGTGACTCATACGTCAGGCTGCGAGCAGCCGCGTCCAACAGCCTGGTTGATGAGTCCGGCAACCAGGAGGCCTGGTCGACGACCGGGCCGCGGGGACGCTAAGCCCCGGAAGCACCTCAAGGTAACCTCAAGGTAGCCATCATTCTTGCCGTTTCCCCAATTGTTGCTGCTGCTGGAACTTGGCATAAGATCCAAGAGTCTTCCGAATGTTAAACACAGGATTAATTACACGCTAAGCTTACAATTGATATTGCCAGAGATCCCTCACTATAATGATATTGCAAGTAATGTTATGAAGTGTTGTGCCATTTATTGGGTTAAGCAGGGATAGCAGAAGGTGGCAAGAGCCATCTCGATGAGTTCCTCCTGTATGATATCGATGAGCTGCTCCTGTTTGAGCAAACCTGAGAGCCTGTATAGGGTTGTTTGTAGAGCAAACCTGTATGTCGGGTTGTATGGAAATGGTATCTGTAGGTGTAGAAATATTCATACCTTATACAGTGTACAAACATTCGAATACAGTGTTTTATGTATACAGTAAACGGTAATGTAGGTCACTTTTTCTGTTGGGCGTTTGTCACTCTTTTTGTTGGGCATCTGCCACTTTTTTGTTGGGCATCTGCCACTTTTTTGTTGGGCATCTGCCACTTTTTTGTTGGGCATCTGCCACTTTTTTGTTGGGCATCTGCCACTTTTTTGTTGGGCATCTGCCACTTTTTTGTTGGGCATCTGCCACTTTTTTGTTGGGCATCTGCCACTTTTTTGTTGGGCATCTGCCACTTTTTTGTTGGGCATCTGCCACTTTTTTGTTGGGCATCTGCCACTTTTTTGTTGGGCATCTGCCACTTTTTTGTTGGGCATCTGCCACTTTTTTGTTGGGCATCTGCCACTTTTTTGTTGGGCATCTGCCACTTTTTTGTTGGGCATCTGCCACTTTTTTGTTGGGCATCTGCCACTTTTTTGTTGGGCATCTGCCACTTTTTTGTTGGGCATCTGCCACTTTTTTGTTGGGCATCTGCCACTTTTTTGTTGGGCATCTGCCACTTTTTTGTTGGGCATCTGCCACTTTTTTGTTGGGCATCTGCCACTTTTTTGTTGGGCATCTGCCACTTTTTTGTTGGGCATCTGCCACTTTTTTGTTGGGCATCTGCCACTTTTTTGTTGGGCATCTGCCACTTTTCTGTCGGGCGTTTGCCATTATTTTGTTAGCTTTTTTCCTTATAACTGCAAATGCCTAACAGTTCCAGTCTACAAAAGTGGCAATAGGGGAAGACCCCATTAATTATCGATCTGTATCATTGACCAGTGATGTAGTTAACATACTGGGAAAAAAATAACTAAAACCAAATAGGCAGATAGAACACCTGGAGAGAAAATTGACATCATAACAGTATGTTTTCGACGTACTCGCCAAGTTGTACAGTGGGGAGTGGGGTGGGGGTTGAGCTTTGGCTCTTTGGTCCCGCCTCTCAACTGTTAATCAACTAGTGTACAGATTCCTGATCCTTTTTGGGTATATCATATCTGCATTTGAAACTGTGCCAGGAAACTCCTTTCCTGACCAGTATGAATAAGGGTTAGGAGAGTGTGCTCACCGACCATGAATTGTCAAAAAAGCTTTAATTGAAAATTCCTATAGAAGGCTGAGAGTGATGTTTTTAACCAGATAAAAACTTTTAGTGAGGAGACACTACAAGTCATTAACTTGTAGTTGGGAATAAGCAGTGACACTCTCCAGGTGGGTAGAGAGGGCAGTGACTCTCTCCAGGTGGGTAGAGAGGGCAGTGACTCTCTCCAGGTGGGTAGAGAGGGCAGTGACTCTCTCCAGGTGGGTAGAGAGGGCAGTGACTCTCTCCAGGTGGGTAGAGAGGGCAGTGACTCTCTCCAGGTGGGTAGAGAGGGCAGTGACTCTCTCCAGGTGGGTAGAGAGGGCAGTGACTCTCTCCAGGTGGGTAGAGAGGGCAGTGACTCTCTCCAGGTGGGTAGAGAGGGCAGTGACTCTCCAGCTAGTGGGAGGTGATGGGTCAGAAGGTAACGTGTGATATCTCAGATGTTGTTGCCCATGTCTAAATTACTTACCATTGCCAGTATAGGATAGGAGGAGCTTTAGGGATTTTTGATGAATATCATTTCGATTAAATAAAATCTTTTCAATTTCCATCATTGTGTATCTGGTTTCCCCTTCAATGTCAAATGTGGTGTATGTCATCAAGTACGTTGAACTTCCTTGTTAGAACTTCCCAAAATTATCCATCCTGTAATTGTTTAACATGACTGTCAGTAACTGGTTACATAAAAAAATTATTCTGGTCTCGGTAGTAATTATCAAGACTTTCATTTGAATACATAAAGTCTACATCAAGCCAAAAGTCTTATTAAAAAAAAAATTGTGCAGTGGTTACCCCCCATAAACCACTCACGATCCATTTATTAGTAACTCTCAATACTCTTGTAGTAACGAATGTAATGGAATGCAGGCAGCTGTTTTCTCCTCTGAATTGAGATTAAGCATTTCTATGTAAGTACTATTGGTTCAGTGCGAGGTTAATACTGACCCCCTACACCAGTGGAATTAATAGTCAGTATGATCAGGGTACTCTCAACTGTAAATAAAGTTTATATTTAATAAGGAAATATACTCAAGAGCACCAGTGTGTAAACCTACAGTGGTATCAGGCAGGTGTTACAAGGTGCTTGAGTGGGGTAAACTAACAAGTGAAGCGTTACATACTTTGTAACATCTGGTCTTCTGACAGGTGTGGGAGAGGGGTGGTGGTGGAGGAATGGGGTCGTAGGGGGGGGGAGGGAGATGTTTAAGATTTTTACAATTTTTACAAAAGACTGAAAAAGTCTAATGTTTCTGTGGCTCATTTGTGTACCAAGTTTCCACCTGTGTCCCCTTGTTCATGTTCCACCCATGCTAAATAGTTTGTATTTATCCACCTTGTCACTTCCTCTGATAATTTTGTAGGTAGTGATCATCTTCTCTTTTTTTTCCAGGGACGTGAGGTATACCTCCCGTAGCCTTTCCTCGTAGCTCATACCTCTCCATTCTGGGACTAGTCTGGTGGCATACCTCTGAATATTCTCTAACTTCGTCTTGTGTTTAACTAGGTATGGACTTCAGGCTGGAGCTGCATACTCCAGAATTGGTCTGACATAAGTGGTATACAAGGTCCTGAACGATTGCTTATACACGTTCCAAAGGCAGTTCTTATGTTGGCCAAGCTAGCAAATTCCTTGATATCCTTTTGATGTGGGTTTCTGGTGACTAGTTTGGTGGTATATCAACTCCCCAGATCTTTCTCTTTATTTGACTTGCAGGATTTCACCTCCCAGATGGTACCTTGTGTTCAGCCTCCTGTCCCCTCATTTAATTTCATTACTTTACACTTTCCTGAGTTAAACTTTAGTAGACATTTTCTAGACCATTCCTCCAGTTTATCCAGGTCATCCTGTAGTCTCTGCCTATTTTGGCCCGTCTCGATTTTTCTCATATTTTTGGGCAATTAATTGCATTTTTTAAATCAAAGGTGTGTTGGACGTACCTTGGATTAAATATTGCTATTTTGCCATTTTAATTTGTGCAATTTTGCAATCCAGGGTGTTGGACGCCTTGGTCAACTCGTCAGTCTCCAAGAACAAGGCGCTCGTTATATGCTCGTCCAAGGTGCTGCCGAGGACCATTAGCCAGTTACACATAGCCAGTAACTCGGGTTGTTCTTCGCCTCTCTCTCTAGGGCCTTAGTGCCCCTTTCTTCACAGATCCCCAGCCCCAAGTCAGGGTGAAGTAATCAAGACGTCGCAGTAATAGACAACCAAAATTGTCTCGTGTTGTTTATCCCTTGAGAAAGGGATAAACAACACGAGACAAAACCATCAAGAAATGTACTTATATTCACTGTCGTTCACAGTTCACTGCCTTCAACGACCATATGCAGACCCTTGCTGTCCACTCGTGGTGGAGTGAGCACCTTCCGCCCTCCAGCGTGCCTCTCACACCACCTCTGAGGAAGGAAAATCATATAGTATGACGGAAACTCCACCTGTTTCAGTGAGACCGCAGCCTCCCAACAGTGAACACGCAAAAATAGGGTCAGGTGCGGTCGACAGATGGCGTTAACCTCGTCACATGCAGTGTTGGGGACCGGCATGTGGGGTCCTGCTGTGTTGGGGTGAACTCCTGTGATGTATGAGATACAAAAGGTAAATAACAGACTGGACCGTGAGACACAGTTTAGTATAAGACAAGGAAGGAGTAGACTTCTATCCAAAGACTCGAAAACAAATGAGCAACAATAAGAGGGTATAAGCATCCTCCATAAGTAAATTTAAAACAAATGCGGACGATAAAAACAAGGGGTCATTATATTAACTGACGGAGATCAGGAAAGGCGGGGCTAGGGAGCTGATGCTCGACCGTGTAAGGATATCTGCGTACAAATACGCATGGATATTTTGCCTGCGCTTGTTGCCCTCAGTGTTCACAGACTTACAGGTGTGACTACTTAAAGAGGGGGAAAGGGGGAAGATAGAGAATGAGAGATGGGAAGGAGGGAGGAAATATCAGTGGGAGGGGAGGGAGGTGGAAGTAAGGGAGGGGGGGGGGTAGAGAGGATCGGAGGGGTGGTGGGGGGCACAGAGCGCCTTAATTGGTGCAAACACAGTGAAATACGGGTTTGTACACGTTGGGGATTGGGGAGTATTGGGGGGGGGGGGGGTGTTACACGGCCCTACAGCTACAAATACCTAACTTAATTGTTCGTCCCAACCCGTGTTTATCATCGGTACTGCGACCAACACCGTCCTGGACACCACTACCACTACCCCCGCCCCGTCATGGGCCGGGGACAGGCTGGGTCATTTTTCAACAGAGCCGAGGCTGAACCTTGTCGCAGGAGTGAGAACGAAGGTGGCTGATGTTGTCAGTTAGATTAGAGATCAAGCGGTTTTATTTCCCCCAAGTTGGTCCAAGATTCAGGTGACGGTTTTGTGAGGGATAACTGTCTTGGAGATTTTAACATAAGGGTGTTGAATCACCCTCTATAATTAAGAACCGAGTAGCTTTATATATTAGATAAATATTTGAATTTAATATGTCAAAAATATACGAGTGGGAAGGTTTTGTGTGCTCAAAATAGTGTTAGGAGTTACCATAGGACAAAGGGAGGTCCTTGAGGAGGTCGAAATGTTCGGTAAAAACTCCAGAGTTTCGATCTCTTTTTAAGGATCAGCGTGGTCAAGTGGACAGCGTCTTAGTTGTATGCAGGTGCGCGAGCATGTGTGCCTTCTGGGTTCGAGTCTCTTGACGGGGTTGAGCCCTTTGTGTGTTTCCCATTGCCGTTTAGGTAATATAATATATATATATATATATATATATATATATATATATATATATATATATATATATATATATATATATATATATATATATATATATATATATATATGACAGTGTCAGACCACAA